CCAGTACCTGCCTGTCCATCTGGATCTGGAAGTCTCACAGGATCTTAGCCCTGTTATTCTCCACGACCTTCTGTGAAATCTCCCAACTGGACTTGGGGGGGGTCTAGCCCTTACGCTGTACATATGTTCCTGTACACAATGCCAGCTACTTGGTTGTGCCATTCAGTGTACACACACACAAACACACACATACATGTACACATACATACATACACACTGAGTAATATGCCGTTGTACTACTGCAGTACTTTATTTGAATTATAAACTATACTACACAATTTAAAGCCAGAATCTTCATAAACATATTTTTTACCTCATTAATGAGTGACCAGATAGTTCCTCTAAGGTACTGTCAGAATCTAGGTTCACTTCTTGTTCTCTGTTAGATATTGCATTATTAGATAAGAAGTGCTTTGCTTGTTCCAAACCATAGTCTGATCCTGGGGACACTTTGCTTTCTTCCCACAGAGAGGCATTTGGAAATCCATTTAATGATTCTGGCTCTGTAATGTATTTTAGAAAAGCATGTTCAAAAATCAGTACAAAAATAAGAATTCTACCACTGACTGATCAGTACAGTGAATGTTTTTAGATTTCAAAATTATGAGATGTTAAGATAGAATCAGGGAGGTGCAGCACATATTTGCACCTGAGATTATGCCATTTTCCCATTAAATCCCATTCATAAAACTTCCTGGAGAATCTTGAACTAATCATTCTCTGTCTAATCTATTTCACAGCGTTGCTGCAAGAATAAAAGTTAAGTGGAGAGAGGAGGAAGAGGAGATTAGATTTTAATAATAGCTAGGGAAGAACAACCACCGTTGGCAAGAAAGAGTCTGGAAAAAATCATGATTTGCCACAGTCTATAATCTATTTGTATTGGATTATGGATCAAGTCATGACAAAACTCTTCATACAGCAACATACAAAAAGTGAAATTTAGCAACACAGTACATTTTACCAAGCTCTTTATATTGTATAATGGTAGTAACATTAGAAACAAAAAGTAATAACTGGATAATGTTCCTCTGATTGCTTACAGTGAGTTTAATAATCGCCACCCTCCCCCAATTTCATTCAAAATCTATAAAGCTGGATGTTTGGAATGTGGTTGGATTCTTAACCAAACACTAAAATGTAACTTTTTAAGGGTCCCTTAACATTTGAGATAGACTAATCTTTATATTTGGTACCGGCCTCAATGTCTTTTTAATGTATTTATATTGCAATAAACTGGTGAATTGAGCAGCAAACTTATCTTTGCAATAAGCAAACAGCTGATAGAAGTACAAACATAATGAACAGCTCTTACTTTCTTTTCTTCCTTTTCTTTTAGAAGAAGCAGATGGACGAGACGAACCTGAAGATGGCGGTCCTGAGGAATGATGGGTTAATCCAATAGTTTGGTGCTCATAAGGTGATTTTCTACTGGCAAGTTCTTCTTTCAGGCTGATGCTGCTTGTGGTGCTGCCAATACAAGCATGGAATTAACACACTGTCAGTATTTCTCTCCTCTATCAACCATACCACAGTTAAATCAACTTAGTTTTGTGAATACACACTATTAGGACCAATTAAATTCCTTTATACAGGGATTCTCAAACTCTGTGATACTGCAACCCCCTAAAATGGTAAGTTAATTTGTGCGACCCTCTCCCCACCATGAATAAAACTAATGATTTAATTGGGGTTAGAGTTGGAAAAGAAAGAAATTTACCAGTTACTTTTAAAATTAAAATTTAACTTATATATCAAATTAACAATGATAGAACCTTGCCATAAAATTTAAAATCAAAGTTTTAATGAGAAGGATGACCTTGCTTACTTTTCCATAATTCCTGACATCTGGGTTTCATTTTAAAGATACCCATTCACCAAAGTCAGGATCAGTTAGAAGAAAAAAAGTGTTTCCTTGTCTTAAATCAGCTTCTCTTAACCACTCTTAAAATGCTGCAGCTTATAAAACACTAGCAGGCTGTAAGTTGCTTTTGGAGCTCCTTCTCCCAGCACAGCTACACTGAAATAACAATCATAGCCCATATTCTCTTTTCCTTCCAGCTTGGTGCTTTGTTCTTATAAAAGCTTCTCCTCACTTTTGCAATGTCCTCCAAACCATAGTCTCATAGTCCTGCTTCCCCCCCCCTCCATCCATTAGAGTAAGGGTCAGATCAGATGATCAGAACTTTGCAGAGAAGCCTTGTGCCCTCCAGATACGGTCATTCCTTTAATGAAAGGCAAACCCAGTGTGATAAAGAACAAAAAGAACACTCAGAGCTCTGGAACCTACAGGCTGCTTTGCACTCAGTACAATTTTCAAACTAGTAAGTCTGCTTAGAAAGCACTTGGGAGAAAAGTGCTCTCGGGTGATCTGCCATTCATTATCTCATGGCTTCTATGCCTTTATAAATTAATATTAAAAATCCCTTATAATATCATGCCAAGTACTAGTCTGGCTGCTTTTAAAATATAAAAATTCTGAGTATTATACTATTTCAGCAACTGCTCAACATAAATCAGATTAACAGTGCATGCTTTAATCTTTGGTAGAAACCATGCACTAGTTTCTGTTTTTTTAAGTATGAATTCTTATGCTCCAGTATTCTCAAAAAGATTTTTATACTAGAATTTCATCATGTGCATACAGTATTTATATAAATTGTGTAATAGTTGTTAGCAGTCCTAATTTAAAACATCCTAACAGAAATGTTGGAATGCTAAAATTTTAAAGCTGAAAAGTATCATTAAAGAATATAATACTAGAATGAGACTATTGAGAAATTAACTATTATACAATTATATATAACCACATATTATTCAATGCAAATCATTTCTCGTCTCTTATTTATATAGCTTCATTATCATTTGAAAAATATATTTATACTTGTGTTCAGGTGTAGGCTTTTTGTCCATTGTTGTACTACTTCCCTGTGATGAGATGAAATCATCATCATAGGAAGCAATGCTAGCTGGAGGGCTCATGACCGGAAGTAAAGGTCGCTGTGTTGATGATCCCTGGCCTGCATATTCTTCAGATCCTAGCAGAAGGAAGAGTGAAAATGAAATACAATCAGTATTTCAGAAGAATTTACATTTCAACAAAAGTTTAATACAGAGTATGCAAATGAACAAACTGATTGTGATCCAAAGACCACTAAACAAAACATCTCAGAATCTTCTGTATGGCTATATATAGAACTAAGAAAGTACGTTCTTTGCCTAAGCAATGTTCAGAAGTGGAAAAATCTGAAAGTTTTAACTGACTTCATTGTAAAAAAGTGTAACAGCCAATTTCCAAAACAAGCTGAAAATGTTGTACATATCAACATATAATACCAGTAAAACGAGGCTCAGATATTACATATATGGCACAGTCAGATTTCCAACAAATTATTAACTAACAAAATATCAGAGATATCAAAAGGTTCATATTTCCTTACCTTTCCCACACAACTGGTAAGATTTTGTAAAGATGTTGATGACGCTATGCGGACTCCCCTTGGAGAGTTCTTCCCATGGTCTTGGACAATTCCTAATCTGTGTGAAAATAGGTAAATAATTCTCTGCCTCCTTCTGAAATTCTTTTATGGGTTCATAACCAGTTTTATCTGCAACACAGAACTCTTTTTCATTTAATACCTCAGCAATCTTCAAAGCTGGATTATCATGCTTTTCACCTTCTTCCTCAGAGAGAAGGCCATCACTGAGTAAACCTTCACTTATGGAACCCACACTATCATGCAGAACTGCAGGTTTATTTTCAGGCCCAGCAGAGCATGTTTGCTTTTGAGGCAGATTTCCTAATATTCCTTCAGGTCTACTATTGCCTGGAAGACTAAGAGCAGCTGTATGAGGACTAATAGTCTCTGGGAGCTTTTTAAACTCATTAAGATTTCCCACTCCAGGAAGGTTATCATCAAAACTTGTATGTGAAATGCAGGTTCCCAACATTTTCTGAAGCCTAGCTGAAAAGACATCATCTTCTCTCACAGGAGGGCTGCTGGCTTTTGCCCAGCAGGTATCACCTTGATCTCCTTGCAACAAGTCACGTTCAGTATCCCATGCTGCTTCATAGTTAATGCCAGCCCCAGCTAATTTCTTGGCTTCACTTTCAATTCTGTTTGAAAGAGAGGCTGCAGTTGCCTTTAGGGCTTCAATACGGTCCAATTTATTTTTATAATGATTAATGGTGGGTTGTACAGTAGATGACATAAATGGCTGAGGAGCCGAAGTCATGGATCCCACAGCTGTGTTGTGGCTCCTCCTGGTTGATGATACAGATTCAAAGTCCTTTTGCAAGAGACCCATGTGATCCAAAGACAAAAGTTGAGAGAAAAGAGCTCCATTCAAAACAGCAGACGTTGAGCAAGGAACCTGGGTTATTGAACTCAGCTTCTCTGGATGAATCCTTAATGGCTCCAATGTATTACCCCTGGAAATGATCCATTTGATTATCATCAGTTTACAGTAATAAAGTTTAGACATTTAATTATAGAATAGTCACCTACACTAAGAACTGATAAACTTTTGGGGGCCAAGGGGACAGGTTTTTTTGAGGAATGGTTTCAGTGAACAGGACAATGAAAATTGTGTGCACTGTTAATTCGTTGTTCTTTTGGGGAGGGAGTTCCTTGGTTTTTTAAACTGGGTTTGGCTTTTATTGACTCTGTATTTTTCACTTACCTAAAAATGGTGGGAAACTGATACTTGGCACTACAGTTGAAGGGGTCTTTGGAAAAGAGTTTTGAGAAATACAGGTTGCCCACCCTGACATATACAAACATCTCTGAAAACACTTTCCCAAATGGACTTGTGGATTATTATTTTTTTCTCCAATTCTCTTCAGCCTTCCTGCCCAATCAACTAAACACTAACAGAAGCAAATATGTGTAACTCAGGGTTGAACTGTGGAGTCCTTGGGGTTCTCTGAGCTTGGTTGTTTTCTTGCAAACGTTTCGTTACCTGGCTAGGTAACATCATCAGTGCACTGATGATGTTACCTA